GGCATGGAAAAATTGTTATTCATTATTTAATGTTTGCCTATTGACAGCCAATTTTTCCTCTCTCTCTCGCTCTCCTTCCCTCTCGCCCTCATTTCGCCCTATGTGAAACCCTTCCTTGTTCTTTGCGACTATTAAACATTTCTCTTTCTGGCCAGGGTCGGTCCTACCGTTGCGACTTTTCGGAAATTTTTTACGACCCCCTTTAATCAAAAATTTCACGACCCCCCTTCACCACCCTCGCCATCATGGCTGTTTCTATGGTGTTTAATTCTGGGACCAGTCGACACACTCGAATACGACCCTCACCTACAAGCTCAACAAAATACGACCCTCCCCTCCGTTGGTACCTGTCGCAACATAGGATTGACCCTGTTTCTGGCTCTTCTCAACTCTTTCAAACACGGAGCTTATCTTGCAGTGAACCTCACCTAAGCAACTGTCTCTTGGGAAAGTGAATTATGTAAAGCGCAAAGGATACGTGTTCCTAAAGTATATATGTACTCACACAAACCCAATAAACCGGAACCGTTGGCCTTGTTTTTGCGGCATTCATACAATTGATGTAGGTATGTTGGCAGACTGTTTAGCACCGCCTCTTGTCCTTCATGACTTCGTGCTCGCTAAATAGGGTAATGATAAAGGTTTGGAATAGTTAGGCCGCAGTTCGGTCATCGGTGAGATACTCAATGGACCTTTCTTGGTGCCACAAGTGGGGTTACCTCATGCTTGCGAACACGTTTACAGTCAGCTCGTAAACGTTCTTCAATCTGTTTCTCGGTACGCTGATAAAATCCAAGGTTTGAAACCTCTTTAGCGAAACGTCGTAATAAATTCTTCTTATCGGACTGGCCGCCATTTTTTCCGTCTGCAAAGAACGAAGGTATGGAGGAATGTTCAATGGGCGAGAGGAATTAGCGACTGAAAAGAAGAACACTCACTTTCTCGCCCACGTCCATGATACTCTTCGTAAGAATCGCAGTACAGTTGCATGAGCAACTTCAGCTCACTCTCGTGGAAAGGTGGTGCTTTCTTGCGGTCTCTCATGTTTGAACTGCTGAATGAGAAATTAAAAGACCACAGAGATTCTCTAGGTAGTACTCACATGAGGAATTTTCCCCTATAAGGATCATCTAGTTAATAACTCACTCAGGATAGTCAAGATACATAGGTGGCCTGATCGTGGGAAACCGTGATACCGACGTGGAAAACCCCTCAAAATAGGAACACAATAGGTATGGCGTTAGGTTCGTATTAGGATCAGATTCAGAGAGCGGTTGGGTCAAGTCAACAGAAACACACACACAAATAGACGGCCGACTGGCCCGACAGAGTGAGAGAGTCGTGGTCAGCAAACCGCGCACAAGCGAAGCCACACCGCCTCGATCGATGGGTGGGGGTGTGTGTGTGGCTGGCTGGCTGGCTGGGCTGGCTACGAAGGGCGCAGAAACCCACGCGAGGCCACCTAACCCGAGGGTCACAGGTGTGGCTAAACTAGATGGCTCCGCAATCGATCGGTCGCTTAGGGCACTCAGACTTCAGTCGCGTCACCTCTCATCAGTGGCGTAGGAATTCTATTTGGGGTTCCGTTTGAAGAAGGGTTCATCAAAGTTCTCACGAGGTTCAGGGGTGGTTTGATTAAGATATTCCTTGGGCACTTTTCACATTGAACTAAAACTAATAAATAACGTGGTTAATAGCTGGTGCGCTTCCAGTCTTTTTCATATTTGATGGAGAGTCAAAAAAGTCGTCGCCGCAGCCTTCAAATGCCTCGTCTCTGGAGACCTTCGACGGGTAACCTTTTGGGGGATTTGGCGAAGTCACTGGGAACTAACAGCTTGAGGGAATGGGAAAAGGAGGTTGGGTACCCGAATCTCCTTTGGTTAGGTACCCGAATCTCCTTTGGTTAGGTACCCGAACCTCCTCTTATTGGGTAGGATTGAGATGAGGTATCCAGAAAGGTGTTGGCTGAGAAGTAAGGAGAAGGTCCTATGAGTCCCCTTTGAGGGCTGTTCAAGATGAGAAAGCATAGGTGAGCGAAGGAACATTCAGAAGAGCACGGAAACGTTCGAAAGGGTGAACCCTGACGAGGAGAGCCTGTGAATCCAATAGAGCTGAATGAATAACATCTTAAGCGATTATAAGGCGAGAATAGCGCTCGTGAAGATACAAACTGAATTGTGGAAGTTAGCCAGTCAACCATGGTTGTAATTACGGCCGTCAAGTCTCTCCATAGGCATCCATATAAGTCTTGGGTTACCGCCTAATGGCGGCTAGCGAACGGGGTTGAATCGATTGTGGCTGGCTGACTAGCTGGCTGGCCGGTGTGCGGGTGTGTGTGGCTGGGAGGAGACGGGGCGACCACGGGGTTTAGCGCAGTTTCTACAAGGACGACCCTGATATCGATGGCGCAGTGAGGGCCCAATGGCTGGCTGGATGGGAGGATGAGGCCGAGGGAAAGCAGAACCTCATATTCATTAGTGGATTGAAGATGTTACCGATTGCCCATGTGGGGACTTTCTGAACGACCTGGAGTCAATATCAGGAAAGAATAAGAAGGATTGCAATGTTCACTTTAGCTCTGAAGGTTCGGCGCTAGAATGATCGGAAGGTCTTCGCCCATGAGCGGTAGAGCTTGTCTTGCCCATCCTTGACCATTTTCGACGGCTGAAAAGGAATGGAGAATATTTATATTGAACACAATGGACAATTTATATTGAATTAGGACTGAGCTACTGAAAAATTGATCACGTTACATTAAAACCCCTCGATAAGAGCCTACCATTGGGAGGGGCACATGTTCATCTAGAAACATTCCAATTCTTTTTATAAAATCGATACGTGGCAGCTTTTTCAAAGCAGTTCCGTTTAGTGCAGCTGAATAATCGATAAGAGTTAAAATAGTAGCGCCTACCCTGAAAACTTCCTAGCCATCGTGGGTGTGGGAGAATCCCTCGTGTGAATGAAACAACGAGGGCGCTCACAATCGGCGCCAATAGTTAGCTGCGTAGCGCACTTCACCAGGTCGCTGACCCATCGCAGACCGTATGGGCGTAACGGGCGCTCTTTAGCTCCCTAAATTGTTGCTTAGGGATGCAGTGCAGTGGATATGGGCGCGTTTTGAGTTAACTTGTTCTGTGTGCTCCTCTACTAGACATGCAGTCGGT